AATTGAAATTTAGTACTTTTCAAGGGTTGAAAATGGCATTTGGGAGCCTGTTTGAAGAGATAGCCAACAACCCATACTACCTCTTTTTTCACCAAGATTTTGTCTTGTTTTATTTCTTCAAAAACAAATCTTTTCATTGCTGGCAATGTTTAAAAGCAGGTTCCCCTTCCATTGCTACGATAATTCAATTAATTTGTCATTGCACCACTGACAGAAAGCAAACCTGGGAATAATGAATAGATATGTACCTTCACAATACAGTTACCCAGCGTACACCCTAATTTTCCTCAATTTTCACGTCTGATTGTCGCATGTCACAACCTCGGAACACCGCTTCGAATTATTCTTGGTTTTAGTAGTTTTAGCACAAATTTCTTTCATCGCGGCTGTTATCGCGTTCCCGTGCCGTAGAATCTACGCATTGATAATTTCTCTAGATCTAGACAATAAATTTCCAAAAAAGACTATTTCTGACACTAATTTTTTGTCTTAGATCACAAGTCAATATACTTGATCAACGCGCAGATTTTCCAGCCACGGCAACAATCCAAAGATAGACGGATAGAAAGAGGGAATGACAGAAAGGAGGAAAGTGGCACAAAAAGTTCGCCAGATTTGGATCAATCTGCAGGTAAAAAATGTACTGCCGACCGACTCGAATGAATGCAAGGGGCAAAGCGGAATAATGGCCCATTGCATGAAATGCACAATCTGGCAGGTATCTATAAAATTAACTTGTTGCCGAGAGAATTACCGTAAATATCCGTAACTTATACAAGACGATACGAAGGCGAATACAGATCTTTGGCTACGCAATTTCAGTAGTCCTACGCTGTCGCAGATTTTTACGGAGGGAGTTGATAATTATGGAGGAACAAGTACGGAACTAGCAAAAAGTACGGATTTCTGTAAAAATACGGAAGAGTGGAAGCACTGAATCTCAATTGTCACAACAACAACTGTATAGAACAAGTATTCTCTCCTTCCACCCCAAACTTAAAAAACACCAACAACAAACAAACCAAAATTGTTTTGGTGACTTACACGAGTCCCTTAGCCCTGTGTATGGTGGCAATCTGCTCCTCAATGGAGATGTTTTCCCTGGCCAGCTGCGACACTTTCTCCATGGAGGCCGTGTGGCCGTCCCACACCACCTTAGTCTCCTTGCGCTCCTCCTCGCCGATCTGACACAAACAAACAAACCAGATGTTAGCCGATCTGACACAAACAAACAAACCAGACG